TATATATCACAAAGAAGAAATATCTAATTAAATATCTGAGCACTTTCTATTTTGTAAATCAAATCAGCTGACCAGTATTGCAGGATTAAAACTTCTTGTGACATTCTGAAGTTACATTAACAAAATATTTTAGTTTAGAAAACGTACTTAATTATATATATATGTACATATATAGAAAAAAAATACTCTGACAATGTCATCTTTAAATTTATAATAGCTGTTAATAAAAGATTTTTTAGAAAACTTGTGTTATATCCAAACATCTGTAGATATAAACTATGGGTTTGTGGTTTTTTTTTTTTTTGCATTCAAGCTAATTATGCTTTTATACATTTTTAATTGTGTTAAGAATAAATGCTACCAAGAAGACATTATCACAGTGTGTTTCCGTCCCCTCGCATTATTAGATTTAACTTTAAAGAGTTAACTGTTGCAATATGATCCCCATTACTGTTTTCATTAACAGAATTTTTTCAATTCTTACCTTAAAAAAGAAATCAGAACTACCACTTTCTACAGAGATACGTGGATGGGGTACATGTAAGTATTAAAAGAAAAAAAACAAACAAACACAAAACTGTTAGAACTCATGGCACAGGATCATACATCTAAAACCAAGACTTTCTTTTCCAGTATCACATTAAAAAAACACAAAAAACTTTAATGCTGTAGATTTTATTTAGGCGCTACTGTATTCTCAAACTTGAAGTATTTTCAAAAAGGAATTCTTTGTTTCTCGGAAATATAGATTATGAAACAAAACAATCTTTCACCTATCACTCTCCAGAACAAACAAAACCTCCTATATGCCAATGTGCTAAAATTATTAAATTGTACAGCACAGTGGAAGTTAAGTAACACTCCCCCAAACTTCTCCAAGTCATAACAAATAAGGGGGGGGGGAACCTCCAACAACAATAACACCACAAAAAATTCAACAGAAAACCACAGTAAAAATCTCACTAGAATTTGGTGGTATAATTATATTTAAATAGAAATGGAATTGCCTACAATTTAATGAAATAAAATTTTATACAGGATGGTTAGCATCCCTTATTAAATTTTTAAGCAATGATACAAAATAAGTATCTTCGTTAGAAAAGGTAATAAACAATCTACAATCGTAATTCTTGTTACAGGAATGCAATACAAAACTTACTAACTCAATTATTTCACTTAAACTGTATTTACAGCCCTACAGATTTGAGATTTGTTATTGGATTTTTAATGTGAAAGTTTTCTAACAATGCTTATTTTATTTAATGTGAAGGTACAAAATATAATCTTCAAAATTTCAACTATTCATAAGAATATATATATATAGTTCTGGCAAATTAAAAATCCTTTTCAAAGTATCTTCACAAATCTTGTTTATCAGGGAGTTTATGGGTTTTCTTTGAAAACCACACCCATCTTTTATCAAGATGCAATTCAATAGAATGACAAGCTCTATAGAAATATATTAATGCGTACTTTCACCAACATTAAAAAAATTAATGACAATTTAACAAATCATCATAATCACACTGCTATATATATACACAACAGATGTATACAATATATTCATGAGTTTATAAAAAAATTATACATATGCACCTGTTATACTTACCTGTTACACTGATTAAACTAAGAAACTAAAATCTATGTAAGTAAAACTTTTAAGTTCACTGGCTGAATTCCACAAATCTATATATTTTAAATTAGATGTTAAAACTTCATACTCACTTTTTATGGAAAATATGGAAGAGTTCATTCGTTAACAGTAACAATATTAAAGTTTCCATTTGATATTTTTTGCCAAAACAAACAATTCTGTAATCTGCACCCAACAAATATAGGTAGTTTAAAAAAGTAAACTTTCAAAAGAAAAAACAACTCTCAAAGCACCCTACATCCTTCAGTTGTCCTTTACCAGTAACGTGCAGAGGAAAACATCGAAATTTGGTCACTACATCCAGAAATAAAATTTTGAGGAAATAGCTTCTTGATTTCTACTCTTAATATACATTTCAGAAACATCTGAAAGTTGTTCGCAGGAGAAAAACTATTAAACATTGACTTTTTTTTTTAAAAAAAAAATCCCAAAAGTCCCAAGAAAACTAAACGCCCAACTCGTCTTACGTTTAACCATTTCCGTGGTTCTTTTTGCTAAACGTTCATTTCTTTTCCCCCCTCCCGAAAAGTCGAGGATCAAAATATGGTGTTCAACTTTCAAACACCCTCGGTCCCGCTTCCTCGCGGCCAGTCAAGGGTACCAAGCCCGATATATGGGGCGCTCCGTTAGGACCCTGTTTGAAAAACATCACGCTCCCCGGAAAGATGGACGTGAGGGCGGGTCCGCTCTCGGGAGTCGCGGCGGAGAGGAGAAACCAAGCGGGGCTGCGGCCACTGGGGGTGGGGAGGCGCGCAGCCCCCGGCGGCGGGGCGCGTGTCGGCGACTCCGCGCTGCGGACGGAGGAGCTGCGGTCACCGGCTCCGCGGGCCGTGGACGCGGCGTCGCGCGCCACATGCACAGCAGCACGCGGGCCCGGCTCCGGCGGTGCCTTCCGCGCGCCCGGGGCCCGGGGGCCAGCTCCGTGCCCGGCGTTCCGCGTCTATGTCGTTTGCAAATGTCACTATCGGTACCACGCACAGCGGAGCCCTCGGCGGGCTCGCATGATTCAGGGGCGGTGCAGGGAGAACTGACAGCCACCGCGAGCGACCAAAAAAAAAAAAAAAAGCCCCCAAACAACCCCAAACAGCCCCCTCCCCCTCCGCGCCCCGGGAAGGTGGCGGGGGGCAGTTACCGAGCGGCCGGCCGGGCACACCGCGGGAGGGAGAGCGCTGGACGCTTGGCCCCCCGCCCCCGACCGCTCTTCCTCCAGCAACGACGAAGCAAGAAGACTGGAGGAGGAAAAAGTATTCTCAGCAAAAGTGCGACTCGGACAGGGGCAAAGACGGAAATGGCCAGAGCCGAGCCCCAGCCGGCTGGCAGCGCCCCATTAATACCCCTCCCCCCAAAAAAAGGACGAGATCGCGAGCGCCTGCGACCGAAAGCCCCCGGGGCCCGCCCCGCTCCCGGGAGACGCGCCCCCCACCTCGTACCCCAGCGGGGCCGCGGCGCGCACGGCGACACTCGCACCGCGAGGGCACCTCGCGGACCCTTGCCAGCCCCGGGCCGCAGGCACCCGTTACTCCCGATCCCAAGTTTCTTGGCAGGCGAAGGCGGCCATCAGTCGACCGGGCAAACAGCGAGCCAAGACGCCCCGGTGCGGAAAGGCGAGGTGAGGGCGCGTCCCGGGGAGGGCGCTCGTCCCTCCGCCTGTCACGGGACCGCAGCCCGGAGGTGCCGCCGCGCCCGCCGCCGCCGCCGGGGTCGCGCTGACAGATCGGTCGGTCGCTGGGCGGCGGCCGCTCCGCCCGAGCCCAGACCGCGTCCCGCTCAAACTGCAGCTCCCCTCCCCCACCGCCGCCTCGCCCCGCTCGCGCCACCCTCGGCCGCCCCCGCTTCGCGCCAGCACCCCAGTGAACCACCCGACCCTGTTCCCTCGGACTTCGGGCGACTGGCGTGAGGGCGGGTCCGGTGCCCACTCCCTGCACCCCCCACCGCCCGCCGGTCCCACCACTGCCACCTCCCAAGTCCCTCTTTTGCTACTTCAGGCGCTTACCGAAGCTTTGCCGACAGTCCTGTGCTAGAAGTAATTTTTGGCGATTTTTACATGATTTTTCGGCGAAGTCCTGGCGGTGCTACACTCTCCGACAGGTTATCCCTTCGCTCCCGCTAGATTGATGAGATCAGGCATCACTCGAAAATGGCGCCGAAAGCGCTCCGGCTCCTCATTCAAATTCGTTAGAGCCAACCCCGCCGCCCCGGGGCATGCCGGGAACGCGGGCTGTTTCCACAGCTGTCAATACAGCCTCAACCCCCCCTCCCACTGCTGCGGTCCCCTCCCCTTTGCGCACGCGCGAACTCCTTCCCCACCCCCAAGCCTTACACATGCGCATAACCATACTTGTTTGCCGCTTTCCCTTCGCTTCCGCGGTCTCAGTCTTCCTACCTCTTTGACAGCGTTTTCGTCCAGCCGCTTCTACGTTCAATTGTGGAGGTGGGAGCGATCTTGGTGATTGCGAGCTTGATGGCCCACAGGTCCTTATTGATAGATAGGCACTTAGTCCACTGTTGGGGGTACACAAGAGTCCCGCTGAGGGCAAAAGAAAAGCGACTTTCAGCCAATGCCTAAACTCCATCCCACAGAGTATGTTTCTGAGACCGTGTGTATGGATGACGATACAAGTGTGTTTAACCCCGACCATGTGTTGAGCCCTTGCCAACACTTTACACGATCTATCGCTCAGAACCACCTTATCAGGTAGGTGATGTTATTCTCAGTTTATAGATCAGGAAAGCAAGACTTAAAGAGACCTTTAATTTGCACAGATAGCATGCACGTGGATAAACTCAGATCTGTCAGACTGGAGCCTGGGACGTTTCCTACCACAGAAGGTGTGGTTGTTTAAATCTTAATTGCAACCTTGAGTTAATGATTATGAAAAGTCGGCTAGGAACTTTCCCAGTAACTGCCTGTTGAGAAGGCGCATTCTTCCAGTCCTTTCCCGTCTATTCCCTAACAGTATTGACCTTAAACTTAGGGCTCTTTTGGAGATGTCAGTGAGCTGTCATGTAGTGTAACGTGGTAAAGTTTAGTAGCCAAGATAGCAAAGATAAGTTTCTGTAGTGCAATGTATTAAAATAACAGCAACTACATGGGCACTGTGCTAAACTTAGTGTTTACTGTGCTTAAAGCTTAAAATAGTTTTATAAAATTGGTTATCATACTAATTTTACAGATAAGAACATTGAGGCCCAGATTAAGAAACGTGTCCCCAGTTTCAGAACGATTTTAATGGAAGCGAGTACCTCATATACTAGAGTTATCTTACCTGCCATTAGGCAAATTATGAGGAAATTAGCATTGTTCCTACTAGATTTTAATATTGGTTTGGATTTGTATTTTCCCTCCCCTGATCTCAATTTTCTAAAAGAAACCAACAGTTTAAATAAAAAGCATTGCTACAGCCCCTCCCCCACCCCCAGTACTTATTATAAAACAACTTGCTATGCCTGAGTTGAAGCATGAATATACTCCCTTTTCTCGTTTATAGTCATGAGTAGCTTATAAAGATCAGATTATATGAAATTAATGTGATGGAAAAAATGAAGAATGAATACATATCATAAAATGGAGGATGACTACATTCAAACATAAATGGCAAATTACATCAATACCTATCTTAAGTTACATCAGTACATAACTGTAATTGAGAATCCTGGCTAAGCGAAATTGGTGCATAATCTTGACTATCACAGCCAGTATTAACTGTTGCCACACACTCAGGCATTTGTTACTGTCACACAGATGTAAAATAGTTGCATGGGAGGTTCTTTACTTCTGTTGTAAATGTGAAACATTGGATACTGAGATAGTCATAAATAAGGAAAAGGTATAGTTGTATACAGATTAGCAATGCAGTTCATGAACACCACCACCACAGCGCCCTGGCTTCTTCAGCAAATATTTTAAAACTATCAAACTGCAATCAGTGAGATGAGGGATTCACATTCTTACTCAGAAGCTCCTTTTTAAATACTATTGGTCCACACGTAAGGGGGGCTTCAATTTCTGAGACCCCCATTGTCTGGACCAGGTATCATACACTCTAGATCCTAGGTCCCTCACTGTTGCTCCAGGTTCTTGGAGGTCTGTGAGCCTAGAAAAGGAGCAAAGGCTTTACTCAGATGCTCTGCAGAAGAGGAAAAGGAGGAGACCATCAACTTGGAAAAAAAAAGTGAATATTGAGGAAAACTGAAAACCAAAGAAAGATGGAAAATCAAAATTAAAGGAAAGACAGAAGAAACTGGTTCTCTGGAATACAGGGAAAAGTCAGGAAATGAAGGAAGAAAGACACAAGGAAATGTGAAAGTATACGGGATAGACAGTCAAGCAAGGTCTGTGGATGGCATTAACCGCCCCCTCCCCCCAAAGAAAAACCCAAAACAACCAACTGAGACTATCTCAAGGAGTGTAAGGAAGGCCACACATGATATGCCCTTGAGCAATGAGAAACTGACAGTTCCGTGAGATGAGCTAAGGTAGAGAGAAGAGGAGGTAGAAAATTCAAACCAAAATTGAGGTGAGGGTGCAAAGAAGTTTACAGGATGTTTTCCATCCTGAGAGTCCAAGATAATTTAGGTGGCTGTCAGGCCAAAAAGGGCTGTGAAGACAATGATGTAGTAGTGCCTTGGAGTGACACTCATCTTATGACCAATGGGAACATTATCAACTCTGCTAAGGCATTTAACAGGCTCTGGGTTTTAACTTAAGGTAACACAGTGCATTAAGCATTAGGCTGTTAATGGGAAGGTTGGCAGTTTGAACCTACCAGCTGCTTTGAGGATGAAAGGTGAGTCAGTCGGCTTCTATAATTACTTACAGCCTTGGAAACTGTAAGGTGCATATCTGCTCTACCTTATAGAATTGATATGAGTCAGAATGAGAGAATGAGCTTGACAACAGTGGGTTTGGGGTTGGGTCTTTTTTGTGCTTTAACCATATGCTGACCTTGGGCTTTAGGCATCCCTCTAGATGGATGCATTATTATAATACAAAACTAGGGAAGGCTGCCTTTAAAAAGATTATTTTTCCTCAATATGAGTATTGATTTTTGTCAGATAAATACAAGGATGTTAATTTACCTTTTATAAGAGTAATATGTGGAAATTAGGGAGCTCTGGTGGCCTAGTGGCAAGAAGCTGCACTGCAATCACAGAGGTACATGGTTCAAATCTACCAGATGCTCTGCTGGAGAAGGAGGGGAAATCTCATGTACCAGTCAGATCTGATTTGATGGTACACACACACACACACAAAATAATAAAATTAAATTAAAAAAAGAGTAATATGTGGAAATGAAACAGTTTTATTCCTTTTGTTGGTTATTATAGTTAAGGGAGAATAAGCCAGTATAAAAGATAAAAGGGACACTAGTGGCTTAACGGTTAGGAGTTGAGTTGCCAACTAAAAGACACAGGGTTCGAATCCAACAGCTGCTCCTCCAGAGAAGAATGGGCACCCTCCTCCTGCGCCATTTACTGCCTCTGAAAACCTGCTGGAGAGTCAGCTATGGGTTAGTTCCAACTGGATGGTACTGAATAACAACAAAAATACAAAAAATAAAAATGCAAAATTTCTAACATTTACACATAACCCTATATCCATTGTACTTTAGAAAATGTAAAGGTAACTTTCTCTTCTTTGTATATTAAACATTAATTTTGTTCAGCATGCATATTGAGCAGGTATTGAAAAGATATAATTCCAGTGCACAACTTTCCTAATTTTAAATTCCCTTCTTCTGTTTGAATGACTGCTTCTTGGTCTGGGTGTATGTTTCCATAATTAGTTAAGTATTTTGTAATTCCTAATCTTAGCAGTGTTATCCATAATTTATTATAATCCACACAGTAGAATGCCTTTACATAGTCAATAAAACAACTAAACATATTCGTGTTATTCTCTACTTTCAGCCAAGGTTCATCTGATTTCAGCAGTGATATTCCTTATTCCACATATCTCTTCCCAGTGAGACTTGAATTTCTTGCAGCTTCCAGCCAACATATTTCTGCAGCCATTTTAAAATTACCTTTAGTAAAATTTTAGTTGTGTGCTATTTGTATTGCTTGCTTTACTTAGAATGGGCACAAATATGGATCTCTTCCAGTCAGTGGGTGGGTCTTCCAATTTGCTGGATCTTCTAACCTTACATTTTTTAATGTAAAGAACTTCTTTTTAATTAGCTATTTATAAATCAGATAATTTTCCATCAAGAATTATCGATGACATGAATTTTAATTGCTGTCGTGTACCGTCCAGTCAGGATGGACAACTCGCTGGCGAGCCCTCAGAGGCAGTTAATTGCGTGGGAGGAGACCGTCCAGCCCTCTCCCGTGGAGCATCTGGGGCCTCCAACCGCGCACCTTTGGGATTGCAGCACAGCCTCCTTCCACTAGGCCACCAGAGTTCCTCTTCTAACTTTCTTGACACAGACGATCTCCAGCACTACATGTCAACTGATATTTCATTAATTCCTGGAGCCTTGTATTTGCCAGTACTTTCAGTGCAGCTTGGACTTCTTCCTCAGTACTACAGAATCTTGATCAGATGCTATTTCCTTCAGTGGCTGGATGTCTAGAGATTCTCCGGATACAGTGATTCTTTGTATCTTCTTTTGATGCTTCTTGTATTCAATATTTTGCAATGTGAGGACTCAATTTTTCTTTATTTCAGCTTGAGAAATGCCATGCATGTTCTTCCCTTTTGGTTTTCTAACTCCAGTTTTGCACATTTTGTTATAATACTTGGTCTTCTCCAAATACCCTTTGAAATATTTTTTTTCAATTCTTTTATGTCATCATTTCTTCTATTCACTTTGGCTAACCCTCTGTTCCAGAACAAGTTTCAAAGTCTCTTCTGAAAACCATTTTGGTAATTCTTCTTTCCTGTGTGTTGAATGA